GGGCTGCCTTATTAAAGTAACCCTCCCATGCCCACTCTCTCATCAAGGACTTTCCTCAGGATGGAAAATGCATGAGGTCGTCTTGCAGGCTTCCTGAAAGGGCTCTGTGTTGGTGTCTGGGCTTTTGCACAGGTCAGCTGGTGGTCCTCTGCCCCTTGGGGTTCCCTGGCTCCATCCTGCTTTGCACCTGGCTCTGGATTGCCCTGCTCTTGTGCCTGGGGCTGCTGGTGGGCAGGCTGTCTCATGTGGCCTGGCACGAAGCTCCTGTTCAGACAGCGAGCTGCCCTACGGAGTTACAATGCATAATGGTGATGTCTGGCAGCTGTGTCTTCTTGACCAGTGGTGAAAAAGTGAACATAGATCCCTGGAACCCAACTCAGACAGAGGCCCCTCTCCATCCCGAGCCTGGAGCACCCATGTTGAGAAGGACTTTGCCCCAACACTCCGTAGGGTCCGTGTGGCCAAGAATTGCATGCTGAGATTCACTTTTATCATTTGCTTTGTCACTTCTGGACATCTTCGTCAGCTACAAATTGACAGTGAGCTGTGGGTTATGCAAAACAAAACAATCCACGGTTGTGAGAGCACGTGCTCTGAGCTCCCTGGAGGAAGCCTCTTCACATGCTGAGTGCCTGGATCCATGTTGTCACCACGTTTCCTCCTGCCTTTTCCATTGGGCCCGAGTTCCTTGATGGCGTCAGGGAGCCAGCATTCCATGTGGGGGCGGCCCGGTCCTGCAGCCCGTCTAGAGGGCGTTGGCTGAAGTATTGATGTACATTATTGTATTCAAAACTGACAGGCGCAGTCACATCCCTGGCTCAGACTGAGGGCTGAGGTCACCCTCAATCTAAAGGAGAACAGAATCCAGTGCTAAATGAGGCTTTGAAGCAACAGGAAAAGGTCCTTGCCCCTCACTAGGGAATGGGGGGCTCCCCCCCAAAGCACAAGGTGATCTGGAAGAACTCAATTTACACCCTTGGCTCCTGCGGGCTGGGGGATCAGCAGAGGGCGGGATAATCCCAGCTTCTCGAGCAGATGGTTTCTGACTACCGCTTGACCCAGTTCCCTCCCAGCAGATGACTGGCAGCGGGGCTGCAGCTCCTTCATCAGCGGAGCAAAATGTGGACCCTCCTCCGAACCTCCTCTTCCCTCCTCCGACCAGCAAGGAGATGGTGGCTTTTGCTTCTTCCCAGCACCAGGGCGATGAGCAGGATGCTGCACCTTCACAAAGGCGTGGAGCCCGCCCCTCTTCCCACAGCTCTGTCCACAGTAAGAAAGGTTGTGGGGCTTTCCTGATGGTCCAGTGGTTAAGACTTCACTGCAGGGGGCCTGGGTTCAATCCCTGGTCAGGGAACTAAGACCCTGTATGCTGTGGGGTGTGGCCAAAAAAATAAATAAACATAAATACATACATACATACATAAATGGGCTCTCCTGGTGGCTCAGAAGGTAAAGAATCTGTCTGCAATGTGTTAGGCCGGGGTGGGGAAGATTTCCTGGAGAAGGGAATCACCCACTCCAGTATTCTTGCCTGGAGAATTCCATGGACAGAGGAGCCTGCTGGGCCCCAGTCCATGGGACCACAGAGAGTCTAACACAACTGAGTGACTAACACTTTCACAAAAAAAATAAAGGGTTGTAACGGAGAAGGCAAGGAACACTACTGTGAGTGTGTGCTGAGAAGTAGAGGTGTTAAATCCTTTGCTGCCTTACAGACTTCTCTCAATCCATCAATCAGTCAACCAGCCAAACACTGGTTCAGCAAGTGCACCTGATTATCTTCCAGGTCTGGTATCACACAGGTCTGGTCCCTGTCCTCCAGGAGACGGGGGCCCAGCGCAGGAGACAGGTCTAGTGACATCTGGACACTGGGCTGACGGGCCACACCAGCAAACAACTATTCAGGGCACAAGAAGACCATGGTGGCTTCACCAAGAAGATTGGGCTGGGTCTGAGGACTGGGCGTGAGTTTCGCATATAGGCTGGTCGTTGTGATGGAAAGGACCAGTAGACCAGAGCATGTGTGCCTGGCAGAAGAGGCAAGCAAAATCACAAAGGTGGGCTGGGCTGGCTCAGGGCCACCGCGTAGAAGGTGAAGGTACAAGCTGCCCAGGAGGCAGAGGTTCCTCCTCTCTGCTCGGGGATTCCCAGGCTCTGGGACCGGGCCAGGTGTGGTAAGCCGGGGGAACAAAGGGCCGTCAGTTTGGGAGTGGCAACGATTTAGGATTTGGAGAAAGCCCTAAGGAACCAGAAGGGTTGCCATTTCGGGGACCCTCCCGGGCCCCTATTTCGGACTTTCGGTTGATAAACCCAGAGCAGCCCATTTTTGCATCGTGGGACCGGCCCTGCGCACCTTTGAGTCGGTTCCTCGGATCGGGAGGGAGGGGGCGCTCCGCCTCCAGACTTGCGGACCTCGGTGAGGCTGCGCGGGCCGGCCGAGGCTGAACGCCACAGTGCCCGGCTGGCCTGAGCAGCTTGCGATGAGGGGCCGCGGGTGCTGGGGGGAGCCCTGAGCCGGAGGCCGCGGTCCACCTCGGTTGTCCCGGGCTCCCCGATGCGCTAAGAAAGCTAAACTCCCTGCAGTTCCGTTGTTACGCGGCGCGTTCCCTGTGGGTGGGGGTCTAGGCAGTTGAGACAAGAGCGCAAGGCCGCGTTCCTGCTGCCCCCTAGGAGCGCCGTCCTGTTGCTCCACACGGAGGTGGGGACGCCAGGAGGGACAGAAGGAACGGACTGCACTTGGGGTTCTGGATGAGGCTGGGACTCTGGTGTCCATGACAGCGTCTTTCGTCTAGCGGCCTAAGAACGGCAGCCTTGGAAGGGTACTTTCTTGAGTTCTGTGAAGAGCGTGGCCCGGTTGCCTACTTTGGGGCTCCCCAGCAGCCAGTGTGATAATAGTCGTTACTGTGTCCCATGTACGCACGAGGCGGCAGAGACTAGGATGGGAAGGCTCTAGCCACGGCCACTCCGGCAAGGCTGGCCGTAGCGGAGCCTCGACTAGGACCTGGCTTTGTCTGAGGCCAAGATTTGCCAAGTGGAGGGGGGGGGGTGGCGACCGCAGTGGTGCTGGAAGCCTCGCCAGCCTGGCAAGCCCAGAGCTCGGGAGGCTCATGGGCCGCGAGGCCGGTTCCCCATGCAGTCGAGGCGCTTCTCGGGGCGCGGCGCCGGCGGAGGCAGCGGACCCCAGACCCCTCCAGTCTGCAGGGTCCACGCCTCACCCAGTGTGCCGGCGGCTCGGGGCGCTCGGCTCCGGCGCTGAAGCCCCGGAGCGACATCCACCGGCGGAGCCAGTCCGCGGCGCCCGCGGCCGCCCCCGCCTTGCCGCGGCCAGCGAGGGAGCACCCCAGGAAGGCCGGGGGCGGCTGCAGCGAGGAGGGGTGCCTCTCCTGGGCGGGGAAGGCGGCGGCAGGGACTAGGGCTGGGCCTGCGCGGCCGCCGGGAGGAGGCGAGCGCTGGGATCCTGGATCGGCACCCGTCGGTGCCGCCCGCCGCCCAGCCGGGCCGGGGTCCGGGGCGCCCACGTGGTGAGAAAGTTTCGAGACCGCAGAAGTGGCCGGTCTTGTGGGGTGGGGAGGGGAGGGAAGCGAGCCGGTTCGCCCCTCCTTCTCGCTAAGGCAGAAGGAAAAGCGCGGAGGGAAGCTGGGGTGGGCGGGGAGCGGGCAGCATCAACCTGAACAGATTCTGCCTCCCCCTCCCCCTGCATCCCCCCCGCAACCCCGGGAAGAGGAGCGGGGAGGCGCGGACAGTCTCCTCCCGCACGGCCAGGCGAGACTCCCCCCCCCCCCCTCTTTTTTTTTCCCCCCGCCAACCTCTATCACAACGCGCGCGCACATACGGAGATTGTGCGGCGTTTTTTTCACCCTTGGGAGAAAAAACGAGGAGAGTAAAAGAAGAGGGCAAAGCAAAGAACTCCTCCTCGGCGGGCTCCGCACTCTGCCGCGGCCGGGCGCGGGGACGCGGCCGCCACCCGCCGCTCTCTCCCGGCCCTTTGGCGTGTGCCGGCGCGAGAGCCAGCGAGGGCACCCGCGCCGGGGACGCGGCGAGACTTTTAGGAGCTCGAGCCGATATCGCTGCCGCCGCGCAGACAGAAGAGACCGGGACGAGGAGGGCCCCGCCGCCGCCTAGCCTGGCGCTCGGAGCCCCGCCGGCCCGCGCAGGCGGGCGGAGGGAGGCAGGCGGCGAGGAGGCGGGCGGAGCAGAGGACCCGCCGGAGCGCGCAGCGGCCGGCCCGCCCGCCCGCCTGCCGGTGGATGCGGCGCCCCGGGAGCCTGGAGACAACTTTGCCTTGTGACGCGCCGCGAGGACTGCAGGGCCCGCGGCCCCGGGCTCCGCGCCGCCTCTGAGCGGGCCCGCGCTCTGCGGCGCTCCCAGCACCACACTCACTCCGCTGTCCGCCCGCCAACCCGCGGAGAGGACTACCCGCCCGTCGCCACCGCCCGCGGCCGTTCCTCGGTGCTAGGCGGCGAGGGCGAGGACGAGGCGCTCAGGTGCGAGCGCGGGGCCCCGCCGCAGCGCCCGCCGCAGCGCCGCGCCAAGCCGCGCCCGGCTCCGCTCTAGGGGCTCGGGCGCCTTCGCTTCCGTCTCGCCCAAGTTGCGTCGACCGGCCCTTTTGCCACCTTCCCCGCCCGGCCGCCAAGCCGCCGCTGCCGCTGCTTTCGCTTCACCCGAACGGGGGCAGCGGGGCCCCGACGCGGAGAGGATGGGGGAAAAGCTGCGGATGCCGAGGCGTTCCGAGACGCCCGTGCGGCAGTAACCCTCCGGCCCCTGCCTTGCCCAGGGCGCCTCTCCGGCCCCCAGCGGCCCACGGCGCCCCTTCCCCGCCGCGCGGGAACCCCCGCGGCCCGACCGGGCCCCCTCCCCCTGTGAGCCGGCTGCGGCCCTCCCGGCGGGCGGGCGGAGGCCCGGGCGGGGGCGGGGCGGGGCGGCGCGCCGGGAGCCGTGAGCCGCCCTGCGCTCGGCTCGGCTCGCCTCGCGGCGGGCGCCCTCGTCGCCAGCGGCGCACCATGGACGGGCTGCCCGGTCGGGCGCTGGGGGCCGCCTGCCTTTTGATGCTGGCGGTCGGCTGGCTGGGGCCCGGGGTCTGGGGCTCGCCCACGCCCCCGCCGTCGCCCGCCGCGCCGCAACCGCCCCCGCCGCCGCCCGGAGCCCCCGGCGGCTCGCAGGACACCTGCACGTCGTGCGGCGGCTTCCGGCGGCCGGAGGAGCTGGGCCGGGTAGACGGCGACTTCCTGGAGGCGGTGAAACGGCACATCTTGAACCGCCTGCAGATGCGGGGCCGGCCCAACATCACACACGCCGTGCCCAAGGCCGCCATGGTCACGGCCCTGCGCAAGCTGCACGCGGGCAAGGTGCGCGAGGACGGCCGGGTGGAGATCCCGCACCTCGACGGCCACGCCAGCCCGGGCGCCGACGGCCAGGAGCGCGTCTCCGAGATCATCAGCTTCGCCGAGACAGGTGGGTCGGTCCCTCGAGCGGCCCTCGCTACCTCCTCCACCCGCTTCTCTTCGCTGACTCTGGCCGCCGCCGCCGCCGCCGCAGCCCGCGCGCCCTAGGGGAAACCTGTACTGCAGGCTGGGCCCGCTCGCCTCCGGCCCTGTGCGCTCCGTCCGGGTTGCGGTCCTCTTCTCGAAGGCAGCAACCCCTTCCTACTTCCCTGTCCCCGCCGAGGAGCGCTCTGCCCTCCACCCTGCTCTCCGAAACGGGCCCCAGCGCCTCTGGGCGCGCGTCCCCCTCCCGGCGGACGCGTGCGGCCCTGGCTCCGCGGGCACTCGCTTGGTGATTGCTTAATGTTTTTGTTTCCCACGATCGGAGTGTAGGCTTAGCAGTATAGATGGAGATGTGTGTGCTTGTTGATATCCGTGGGCCGGAGGAGTATGTGTATGTGTGTGACTGTGTGTGTGTGTGTGTGTGTGCCTGCGTGAGAGGCCCCTGGGGCCGCTTCCATCGCCGGGCGGCGTGGGCTTGCCAGGATTGCTGAAGCTTCGCTGGGGAGAGCTAGGCAACCTCTCTTCCGATTGTGTGGGCACCGGAATCAGTGGAAGGCAGGCTTCTCAACAGGTCCCATCATTTACGCAGAGAAAGGCTGCCGCTGAGGGGGCAGCCCCGTGCCTCTCGGCTTGCTTGAGAGCTGAGGCAGCTCCCTGGCTTTAGAGCCAGCAGAGTTCCTAGTTAACAAAGGGTCGGAGTCCTTTCTGGAATGTTCCTCCGGCCCTATATTGCAAATTTTTACCACTGAATATAAAAATCAAGCGAGGAAAAAACATCTTTCGAACTTTAAAAAAAGGAGAAAAATGTGCTCACGCTGAAATGCTGCAAGTGCTTTCGGCTCTGCTGTCCTTTTCAGGACTTGAATGAGCCAGGCTGGCTTTTGTGCCTGGAGCTCAGCCCCGTTTGTGCAGGGGGACTGCCAAGAAGGTTGCAGGGGGAAGCTCGGGTTTGGGCAGGGCAGGGTGGGCAGGGAGCCTTGGTGGGGGGGTTGGTGGCAATCGTGTCCCCAGGCTGTGAACGCCTCCCCCCAACCCCTAAGGCATCGGGCAGACTGTGCAGGTGCCGCCTGGGGATGAAAAGGGATGAAAAGTTTTGCATGGCCGGGTGTGGAGAAAAGCAGAGACAATCAGGGCTGGTTTGTGCTTAGAAAGAAATGCATTGCCGTTTTAGCTGTCCGACAGAGTCAGGGGAATCTGGACATGCAATTAGAGAGCTTGGATTAAAAGGTGCTTTGGGGCCCAGAGCAGAAATGTGATTCTGGAAGGTCGAGGAGGCCTTTTGGTCCCGGTGGCACAAAATGACAGCGGGGGCTGTTATATTTCTGGTCGGTTCCACGGAGCCAGCTCTTTGACTTATAAATAACAGATTCAGGTCACAGGCAGCTCGTCCAAGACCAGCTTTTAAGGCTGCACTTTCCCCCATTTCAAAGTCAGATGTCAGTGTTATTAGAGGAGCCAGGCAGGCCTGAGGAGGGGGCTGGGAGGGGGGCAGTGGTAGGAGGTTTGATAAAACCAGCCGAGGCCACACAGTTGGCTTATTTGTTCTTCCTGGAGAAAAAAAAATGTACGGATTGTCAGAGAGCAGGGTCACTGAAATGTAGGATGAGAGAGGATTCCTCTCTCAGTTGGCATGGCCTCTCTTCTTGTTGAGCTGAATTATTGAGACAACTAATAAACCAATTCTCCTTATCCATGGAGACTTCAAATGTGCCATTCACGGAGAGCCAGTGTCTCATGAAAGTGGTGGACTTCAAGTTTCAAGACTGAGCGCCCTGTCCCTTGGAAGTACTCGGAAGCAAAGGCTGCACTTTGCAGCCTGCAAAGCACACGTCCCCGTGTCAGAAATCTGAGCAGAGCTGGCTTGTTTGCAGTGGAGGTTCCACTGGGGGTTGGATCAGATCATGCTTAGGTAAACACTGGAAAGAGGCTGTAGGTGGCTCAGCTGGATTTTGCAATGCCCTAAGTTAACCAAAAAAAAAAAAAAGAAAGAACCCAAACTCTGCTAAAACAACCCACCCCAAATCCTTAGTGAGACCCTGGTTTTGTTTTTCAGATTTCACAGATACCCATAACAACTTGTTAAGATCTTGGCCTCCTGACAAGTTCCTCCCTTGAGCTTTGAGGCCTGACAGCCTGTCTCCAGGGAACCCTGGCCTGGGAGAGGTGAGGCCGGCTTTCTAGGCCCGGGCCGTCCAGCTCCAACCTGGTCCGGGCTTCTCGTTAGGAAACAATTTTCCCTGCCTCTCCCAGGTTACCGTTGGAGGCCGCGGCCCCAGGAGTGGTATTGCTGGTCAGGACGGTCCTCCAGCTGTTCGGCCAGGGCCCGGTCCAGCATCCTGCGGCAGAATGTGTTTCCTGCAGTGCCTGCTGCTCTCCTTGATCTAACTTGGCCTGCTCTCTCGCTTTTCCGCAGATGGCCTGGCCTCTTCCCGGGTCCGCCTGTACTTCTTCATCTCCAACGAAGGCAACCAGAACCTGTTTGTAGTGCAGGCCAGCCTGTGGCTCTACCTGAAGCTGCTGCCCTGCGTCCTGGAGAAGGGCGGCCGGCGGAAGGTGCGGGTCAAGGTGTACTTCCAGGAGAAGGGCCCTGGCGACCGCTGGGCCGCGGTGGAGAAGCGCGTGGACCTCAAGCGCAGCGGCTGGCACACCTTCCCACTCACCGAACCCATCCAGGCCCTGTTCTCGCGGGGCGAGCGGCGTCTCAGCCTGGACGTGCAGTGCGATGGCTGCCGGGAGCTGGCCGTGGTGCCCGTGTTCGTGGACCCGGGCGAGGAGTCGCACCGGCCCTTCGTGGTGGTGCAGGCGCGGCTGGGCGACAGCAGGCACCGCATCCGCAAGCGGGGCCTGGAGTGCGACGGGCGGACCAACCTGTGCTGCCGGCAGCAGTTCTTCATCGACTTCCGCCTCATCGGCTGGAACGACTGGATCATTGCGCCCAGCGGCTACTACGGGAACTACTGCGAGGGCAGCTGCCCCGCCTACCTGGCGGGGGTGCCAGGCTCGGCCTCCTCCTTCCACACGGCCGTGGTGAACCAGTACCGCATGCGGGGGCTCAACCCGGGCACCGTGAACTCCTGCTGTATCCCCACCAAGCTGAGCACCATGTCCATGCTCTACTTCGACGACGAGTACAACATCGTCAAGCGGGACGTGCCCAACATGATCGTGGAGGAGTGCGGCTGCGCATGAGGGCGCGGCTCCGTCGGGGCCTGGGGACCAGGGTGTGCAAGTGGAGCGCGGTGATGCCCGGGGGGTGCCCGGGGCCGGCCCGAGATCTTTTCCTACTTCCTCATCCAGCAATCTGTCAAAAGCCGAGGGAGAGCCCTCCACGGACACGAAGGACTGAGTGCACACGCAGGCGCGCGCAGCCAGACGCATCCTGCCACCCACATGGCAGCCTCCGGGATCCCGGCAAGTGTCTGCGGTGACAAATGGCAGCTCAGCCACAAATGCCTGTCACTCGGAGAGAATGGGGTGAGCAGCCACCGTCCCCCCCCACGTCCCCCCAGCTGGCCTGGCCACTCTGAATCGCGCCTTCCGAGCACAGAGAAAAGCACAAAGACAAGAGACAGAGGGAGAGAGAGCGAGCGAACCCGGAGCTTGGAGAGAGCAGCAGATGGGGGGGGGGTGGGGAGCAGGCAGCCTACAGAGGGCCGCGTGTCCCCCTTTGCCCGTGCAAGGCCCCCGGGGTCCCCACATCTCTTGGCTCCAACGTGTGGGCTTGCTCCCCTGGCCTGGGATCCTTCCTGCGGCGGGGAGCCGGGCAGCCTGTCCTTTCCCATCCTTGGAGAAGCAGGCCCCAATAGGCTGCCACCTGCCAGAGACCGGAGACCGTGGAGCTGTGGGAGTGACCGTTTGACTGTCCCTTGGGGCCCTGTTGTGACTTCTATGTGTGTGTGTTTTGGGGGTGGGGAGGGAGGGAGAGGAGAAGGGTCTTAATTTGATGCTTTAACTGATCACTAGCAGTTGAATGGTCATTCATTCCGGTTGTATAATTGAAAAGGGACTTTTCTACCAGGTCTGACCTTTTAAGTTAAAATCTGAATTGTTCCAAGTGGAACAAAAAAAAGTTGCAATCTGTGCCCTTCCCTGGGGAGACTCCTCTAGGACTGGTTAGGGAGGGGTGGAAATGACTCTTAGGCAAGGGGAGGGTGAGCTCTTAGAAGGAGGGAATGGTGGAGTGAAGGCATTCTGGAGATGCTCGGTGGGGTGGGGTTGCCCCTTCTGCAGGGGTTGAGGGAGGGGAGCAGTTGAACGGGTCTGGGGAAAGGGGGAGGCTTTCAGCTGCTTTGCAAAAGTGGCCCATGTGGGCTCTGGCCACCAGAGCCAGCCACGGATGTGGCCCCTACCTGCTCGCCCGCACTTGCACTCCTAGCACTTGCACACCCGCCTGAACGCACATGATACAACCCTTGCCCATCCGCGTGTATCCAGAAGTGGCCCTTGGCAGAGCATTGAGCTCACCCCAGAGGTCCAAGTGCCATGTGAACTATGCAATTTAAAGGGTTGACCCACACTAGATGTAACTGGACTCGTACGACTCTTTTTATATTTTTTTATACTTGAAATGAAATCCTTTGCTTCTTTTTTAAGCGAATGATTGCTTTTAATGTTTGCACTGATTTAGTTGCATGATTAGTCAGAAACTGCCATTTGAAAAAAGAAGTTATTTTTATAGCAGCAAAAAAAAAATAAAGTTAAATGTATTATACATAATTTTGGAACCAAAGAGGCCAACAGATCAGTTTTAATTTTTATTAGATGGTGAGGCCATCTTTATGAGGTGGACATTCTGAACAATCCCTTGAGTGGCCTGCCAATGTTTCAGGGTATACATGGATGTTGTTTATTCAGTTTGATGTGTCTTTTCTATCCTTACACACCCAGAAGCTAGAGTAAAAGCGACAATGGTAGAATGCAGGTGTGTATCCTTAAATCCCCATCTTTATGTTTATTTAATAAAGCTCCCCTTAGGTTCTGTTTCATAATAATTTAAAACCAAACAATTTTCCCCGTAGACTTGCTGTTAAAGTATTTTACGTTTGTGTACAGTTGAAGGAAATAAAAGATGGAGTGCCACGGGCTTCCTGCCTTGCGTGATATCTGGGGTGGTGGGCTCCGGGCTGGAGGGGGCAGCTGGGGGGAGGGCAAGTCCAGGTGCCCGACTCTGAAGCCAGTGCCTCCCTGGGCCGCACCCGGCACTGTTTTGAGTCCTTGCCACAAGCTCGGATGTCAGGCAGAGTCTAGGAAAAATGGCAGGAGATCAAAATGAAGGACAATTAGCAAATTCATGAATTACACATTTGTTTACCCTTCTAGTCCCAAGACTAATTATGTTGCACCAGGGCCGAGTCTATTACCATTTGAAAGTGCCAGTGAAGCCCCCTGTCCCTGGGAGGAAATGTGAAACCTGAGAGGTTGAAGGCCACCTGACCCCATGCCCATCTCCGTTTATTAATAGAGATGACTGCAACCGGGAAGAGGTTAACATCTTGGAATGGAAGCCAGAAGCAAGGCTTCCAGCTATCCTGAGGATGCCAGTTGTCCTTTTGCCGTGGGGATTTTAGCAGGTGGTAGATTGGGTGGTGGCAATAGTAACACATGCCCAACTACAGTTGAAGGGATTCCTGGAGATACCCACTGGATGGTGTTATCAGGCAACCCTTGCATCACACCTTTGTGGGAAATGATTTCATCTTTTTTCCTAGGGTTTGGAATCTGAGGCTCAGAGAGTTTCAGGGCTTACCTGAGGTCACACAGCCAGGACAGGCACCCTGGGCCCTGGAGTCCAAGTGCCACGGCTGGTCCTCTTGTTTCCCTGGGAGGACTTTGGGGCTAAGGCCTTGCCTTCATCAGAGGCCCTCTGGGGTCAGAGGGGCTGCGACTTGTGGCTTGGGGGGTCACGTGGGGTCTTCCCAGAAACCTCAGGGCATTTGAGTAGTGGGACCTTAAGGGCCTATATCTGACCCCATTAAGCAACAATGGGGAAACTCACTGAGGGGCCCACCTCAATCCACATGATCAGCTAGTGAGGAGGCATCCTCTGGCCTCTGACTTTTTTCCATGCTTCTCTCGTTCAAGAGAGCTACTGCCCTGCCAGGCGTTTGTCTGAGGGGTGGATTTGTTACCCTGTGAAGTTTAGAGATGGTATGAAAATTAGTGGGGGCTAAGAACAAAATTTCACGAAGACAGGCCTGGCCTGGGCACGTTAGGGTGCAGAGGTCACCGTCCAGCTGCCTGTGGCTCTGCGGTGGTCTAGGCCCTCAGCCCAGCCCCACCCTGTCCCTGGCCCCAGAATTTTTGTTGCAGCCTCGAAGAGGGGCGGCATGTGAGTCACCGGGGTATTTCTGCTCTTCAGATGCTGAGCATCCCTGGGCACCCTCCTGGGTCACAGGGTGGCCCGTGGGTCCCACACGAGCCCAGGAAATTCCCAGGAGTGGAGGTGGGAGGCCAGTGGCTGGCATTCGCCTGAGGGGTGCCCTGCTGCCCTGAGCTGGCCCATGCCTCTCTGGGGTCAGGCCCCCCCGGGTGATGGCAGGGGGCCCCTACTGTTCTCGAGAGGACAGGCTGCAGGGCTGGGCTTCTCCTCCAGCAGGGTCCTGCGGCTTCTTCCTGTGCATCTGTGGTCCTTGCCTCTCTGTTCTTTCTCTTCTGCCTATGGCTCTTCCCCCATTTGCCTCCCCTCTCTTCCTGGGGTGGCCTTGCTTAGGGTCCCACCTCTCCCGAGGTTCCCTGGAGCCCCAACGCGGCCCAGAGAGTGAGCCTCCCAAGCCGCCCACTAGATCCAGTGCCTGTGACCCTGGCCCCTCCTGCTGTCCTTCCCTCTGTCCCTCCCTTCCTCCTTCAGGCCACCAGGCTGTTAGACCCTCGCAGAACTGGTGGGTCAGGCCAGGCCAGCCAAGCCATCACTGCCGGCCCTACCTGCCTCAGATGTTTCCACGGGCCAGATTCGCCTTTGGTTGACCTTCAGATGTGCCCTGAGCCCTCAGGGAACCATTGGAGTCTGAGGCTGGAGTGTGCGGGGGAGAGGGGCCCCACACCTACCTCCCATTTCTTCCCCCCATTTCCTAGATGGGCAGACTGATGGTCCAGGAAGCCCCGGCTCCAGGGGTGTCTTGCGTCCGTTTCCTCTCCCAGCCCCTTTGGGCATGACACCCTGGCTGCAGCGGGGGCTGATTTCCCGCCACAGATCCAGGAGGGGGCCCCTACAGCGGGGCTGGGCCCCTGACCCACCTGGAACTCAGGCTGGCCTGCAGCATGCCCTCTGCAAAGTCCTGTGAGAACTCTTGCTGGGGACCCCCCAAGGGGCCTGGCAGGCTACTCTCCCAGGCCTCCCTCAAGGGCGAGAGGGGGCAGGGAGGCCAGAGGCTGCCGCCAAGCCACGGAGACGGCTGTGGGTTGAAGGAAGTGCGCCTTTGCAGGCAAAGAAGCCGAAACAAAACACCCTTCCTGTGGGCAGAGGCCCTGGGAGCAACCCCAGCCTGGTTACCGGGCTTTCAGCGGGATGTTTGGAGCAAGTGACAAATTACCTGCAGGCCTTGCAGGAGGGGTGTGTCTGCAGTGTGTGAGGACTGGGGGCGTGGGGTGGCTGTGCGGGGGACGAGGGTGAGCGGTGTGTGGGGTGCTGGGCTGTATGGGGAGTGGGGTTGGCTGTTGGTGGGAGTGGATGGGAACTGGGGGTGAGGTTGAGTGATGTGCCATTGTTCTGTGCCTGTAGGTGTGTCTGTCTGCTGAGCTGAGGTGAGTGTAAGACTGTGACTGTGGCCATGTGTGGTCAGCTGCATGTGAGTTCGGCCATCTCTGAGGCTGTGTGGGTGAGTGTGTATGTGTGTGGTTGCGTGGGGATTTAGACTGTGATTGCGGGTGAGGTCGCATGGTTGGCTGTGTGTATTTCTTACCATTTTCATTTTCTTCCTTGTCAAAAGGTGATGCACCTGGCTCGTTATACACTGTGATGGGGATCGTGCATGTGTGCTAAGTTACCTCTTTTTGTGACCCCATGGGCTGCAGCCCGCCAGACTACTCTGATGATGGAATTTTCCAGGCAGGAATATTGGAGTGGGTTGCCATTTCCTCCTCCAGGGTATCTTTATGACCCAGGGATCAAACCTGCATCTCTTGAGTCTTCTGCATTGGCAGGTGGATTCTTTACCACTGCATGTGATGGGCGCCATTACATATTTAAATTT